TTAGAGACCCATATAAGGGGTCAATCCCTTGCCCCCTATAGTAAAACCCATAGACCTCATAGTAGAGGATCTTTTACTCCTAAGATAGCTCACCACAATATACGCTAGAGGTGTGCTACCTTACTCGCAATAGTGAGGTAATAGTAGATCGAAATGGTTACGGCTCAACCCTCTCTCATAATTAGGGAATATTTTCCACCTATATATACTACTCCTTACCCATTAAAAAAACATCTTGCATTTATAATTTTCATGGGTTATTACTCTGGTGAAATATTGAGCCGCATACCCTCACACATTTCCCATCTCTCAGCCGCCAGTAAGATATACACATGGTGACTTCTTCAAGAGCACCTCCATGTTAATATACTTCATCAATCAAGGGATACAAACCTAGCTTTCCTAAGCAACTTGGGATGAATTCTTCTTTGTGCATAATCAACCTCTCAATTTGATATCAAGTTTTAAAAACATATTTTCAAAATAATTTTTTCTATTAAGATGACAATTCCTTTATCATTGTGTCTAACCCTTGTTGTTGTGAATATGTATGTTGAATCTTTTCTAATTAACACAATATTGACTTTGTCTTGAATTAAACCATTATTGGATTAATATTTATGTGACTGTGGCGCCGAAGGGTAAGCGTCTTGAACCTCATAGGCGCGCATAGTGTATTGTCCTATTCTTGTATGTAGAATTAATTACATGAGTCTTTGTCTTTATTTTTCTTCTCAAAATGTGGATAAAACATATGTACCCAAAAATAAATGGGGACGTAGACTCGATCCTTGATCAATAGAAAAACATAAAGAAAGACGATACAAGGAGGGAAAAAATAGGATACGGGGCATATTGGGGATTTTGTAAAATTTCATTGAAGTAATGCACATTGTCCCCGCACTTTATTACTTGACAAACCTCAAATCAAAACTCTGGACATTTGACAAAAGCAAATATTTTTTCTGGTTGATTCAAAAATTAAATATTTTATCATACTAATGCACTTAAACATATATTGAGTGTGTATATTCAAGTTGTACATAAAATGACACGTTACTTGGGCAAAAAAATCAATACACGCATAACGTGTCATATGATGGGAGTCACACATGACCCCATACATGACTTGAACACACATAATCCCATGCAAGACTTGAAGCGCATGACACATGATATGAATGTTGGCTTTTACATAAATCTTGTTTTACCTAAATGTGCGACTTGAATGCAAATACTTCCTACACGCGTCTTACCACATTATTTTAATAAAATATTTGATTTTGGAATCAATTTGAAAAAATATTTCCCCTCTAACATTATTATAATCGAAAGGCCAAACGTTCGCATATATTAATAAGCATGCACGTTTCCACGTGTTGATATCTTATAGAAAAGACTTTTACCAGATACAAATAATAACTAAAGCCCATAAAGGGAACTAGTACGAGAAAATCTATTGAAATTCAAAACCTGGTGTAGCCTTTTTTCTTCAACGGGAGTGCCTTATGCCTTGAGCTCCTCGTCGTGTCGATTCATGTCGGTTATGTATTCCTCGGACTTTGAAGACAATCCTTTTGGTAACAACTTAGAGGTTACATCATGGAAGATAAAATATATCAAAGCTATGAATTTTGAGGACGACCTAACATGGTACTAGTGCCTAGCGAGTCTTATTTTTTTAACGAAAAGCCACGGATTGTTGTGAGAAATATGGCATAAACTTAGAACAACTGCGTTAAACCAAATATAGTATTCAACAAACTCAATTGTAACTCCTTTTGTTCTGAAAAGGCATTAGTTATCACGTGATCATGCAAGGTCTAAATCATTAAAATTCAACTTACTTAATTGCTACGAATCTATTGTTAGAGGCTAGTATACTTTGTCTAAGACTTTCTTTTTTCAATGAAGATACATATATAGGATATGTCATTTGACAGTCAAATTAATATTAACTTCCAATTATGGGATAAACTATATGCTTTTAGAACTGTGTTCATGAACATTCAAGTTATTTTTATTTGTTTAACTTTTGGTTAGGAACTCGAAAGAAGCTCCAACAGTACCGAAATAGTACCAACCAGTGTTTTAAAATTTCACCCCACACCAGGATCGATCCTTTCGAGTCATTGATCATTTTTCTCTAAGGATGCGAGTTAGTAGTTAGACCCTACTTGTACGTTAACCCTTCTAACTCTCGAAACTCCTCAATTAAACCCGTGACTCCCGAGTAAGAGGGATCAAAAGGGTCACTGCATTTTAAAATATATATATATATATACAAGAAATGACATCGTTTGATTTAGAACTAGATATAAAATATGAATTGTTCTTCTTTTTCTCTTCCGATCTTCTCTCCCAGACCCAGACTCAGTCTCCCAGTTCTGGTGATCTCCTCCACCATGCTGGTTCTTCTCTCCCCACAGTTAATTTTTCATGTCGCTGCCTCTCCTCCGTTATTCTCTATTTGGTAAGGGAACTCCTTTCACGTATGGTTGTAGGTGCATAAGAAGGACAAGAAGGGTCTGAGTTTGATGATATAACTTTTCATTAACTCCATTGGAATATGTGTTTTATACTTTGATAGTTTGATACTTTGATTAGCTTATGTGTTTTTTACTTTGATAGTTTGATACTTTGATTAGCTTGTGAATATTGACTTGTGGATGTAATTTGTTAAATTATGTTAAGTATATTTTGAATCTTTAATGATTGGTGGTAGAATACAATTTCGAGGTACGCGCACGATATTTTTGCTTCTGCTAGGGTTTCTTTTGGGGTTTGCTGATGACGATGGAGATTGAGAAGGACGATCATCATTTGCTTACGGATGAGGATGGATCGAAGAGTTCGAGGGATAGATCTTTGTCTGAAGAGGAGGTTGCTCTTCGAAAGGGGAAGAAGCCGAAGGGTGCTATGATGGACGATCTAGCCATGGATGATGATATGGGTGAGGAAGTTCTGGGCGAATCTAGGCCGATTCAACCACAGCTGGTGGTTCCAGAGGCTAAGATGATGGAGGCCAAGTCTGGTGTGAGGTGTAACTTGGTGTCCTACAAGGACAAACTGATCAGGTTGAATGGCAAAGGGGGTCAATCGGATGATGAAGAAGAGGATTGGATCTCCAAGCAAAAGAGGGAGGATGAGGAAGAGCAGCTAGTGGAAGGATTTTCTCAGGAGACTCCGGAGAATCCTCTTTGTCCGCAATACTCTTTCTCCATGGAAGAGCACAAACAGGACTGTGAAAAGTGGAAGAAGACCCTAATCATCAAGCTATTAGGGAAACGAATGGGTCCAAGGTTCCTGATGGCTCGATTGCAGAGGCTTTGGAATTTGGTGAGTACTGTTGAAACCATTGATTTAGACAATGGATACTTAGTTCTTAGGTTTGCTGATGATGGGGATTATCGTCATGTGTTAGAGGAGGGACCTTGGATAGTGAATGACCACTATATAGTGGTGCAGCGTTGGAGACCGTTTTTTGACCCGTTTGATGAGAGTGTCAAGAAGCTGGCTGTGTGGGTCAGGATTCCTGGGTTGCCACTTGAGTTGTACACTATGAGACACTTATGGCGGATTGGGAATATCTTTGGGAGGACCCTTAAAGTTGATAGAAACTCCTTGAGGAAGAGTGAAACTGGAGAGGAGGTTATCACTGAGAGAGGGAGATTTGCCAGGATTTGTGATGAGGTTGACCTGAGGAGGAGTTTCCTCTCTAAGTTCGTAATTGGGAGCAAGGTGTATCAGGTAGGGTATGAGGGACTCCACTTGATCTGTTTTAAGTGTGGACTGTATGGGCATAGGAAGGATCAGTGCCCAGCTGATCAATGTCTATATTCCCCACATGTAGAAGCCAATTCTGTTGAGGTGATCCCTTCCAAGCCTGACCAGTCTAAGGTTTCCAAGAAGAATGAGAAGGATGAGGCATTTGGGAGCTGGATTGTGGTCTAGAGGCAACCTAGGAACTGGAAGTTGAAGGCTAAAGTTTTGGATCCTATTAAGGAGATGGTTGAGGTTCAGGATGCAAAGTCTTGCCCAGCTGTTCAAGGAGTGAGCCCTGTAGCCAATCATGATGCTGGAAAAGCTGAGGAGTCATTACTGGATGAGCATATTGTGTATTCTCCAGCTGGGGAGGGCAGTGGGAAGGATGCTGTTAGTAAGGTTATGAAGGTTGAACCTGGTATCTCAAGCAGTGAGGGTGCTGGTACTGCTTCTAGCCCTCAGAAAAAGTGTTAGCTTCTGATAATGTCAATAGAAAAGTCATTCATAAAGATGGTATGGATAGAGCTAAGATTGGAGGCAAGTCTGGGTTGAGGAAATCAGGGGTTGAGAATGTTTCCCCCAATTCAGCTGTGGAAGGGCAGAGATGGCAAAGTAAAGGCAGAACCAGAGGTCTTCATAGTGCTGAGGGTCTTGGTCAGACTGGAAATAGAGCTAGCTGTGGTAATAGGAAGGCTCCTATCTCAGTGTTGAGTCCTGGTGCTCTTGGTCAGTCTACTGGTGCTCTAGAGGTCCCTATCTCCATGGTGGGTGGGGCTGGTCTTTAGCAGGTAATTTCCTGGGGGTTTCTTGTACAATTTTATACATTTATGTTCATTTTTTCTTGGAATTGTAGAGGGGTTGGGAAGACTAGCTTCCAACCTTTAATTAGAGACTTGAAATTTAGGTTCAATATTAGTATTATGGCTCTCCAGGAGACTAAAGTCAGTGGTTCTAGAGGTGATGAGATAATAAGGAAACTAGGATTCCCTATGTTTTTTAAACAGGACCCAGTTGGGTTTGTTGGTGGCATTTGGTTACTGTGGGATGATGCTGTGGTTGAAGTGGAGGTTTTGAGGGTTCATCACCAGCTCATTCACACTCAGGTTAAATACCTGGACTCTAAAAAAGTGGATTTAATCACCTTTGTGTATGGTAGCCCAAAGAGACTGGAGATGAAGCTTCTCTAGGATGAGCTTTGGGATATTAGTGATTCGGTTGAGGATCCCTGGCTGGTTATGGGAGATTTTAACTCTATTTTAAGTGTTGTTGAGAAGACTGGAGGCAAGAAGGTGTGCTGGAGGAGTTTATCTGACATGCAACAATGCCTTTGGAATTGTAACTTGAGTGACATGGGTTATAAGGGGCCTGAGTTCACTTGGAAAAGGGGAAGACTTCATGAGAGATTGGATAGGGCTTGCTCTAGTGAGGCCTGGAATATTGCTTGGCCTGACAGGTTTGTTAGTCATCTTCCTTTCTACAACTCGGATCACAGGCCTATTCTGGTCTGTAATGGTCATGCTAAAAATGGAGCTCATCCCAGAAGCTTTAAGTTTCTAGCTGCTTGGCTCACTGACAAGAGTTTTAATAGCCTTGTGAAGAACAGTTGGGAGAATAATGTGGGTTGGTTGATGGCTAGGCACAAATTTGAGGAAGAAGCTAAAAGGTGGCATCTGGATGTGTTTAAGGAAGCTTTGAAACAGAAGAATAGACTCTATTCTAGGCTGAATGGTTTGGATAGCTTCAGGTTTGGTAGGTTTGACCCCAACACTGAGCTGTTACAAAAAGAGTTGTGGAAAGAACTTCAAGGAATCTTGATTAAGGAGGAGTTGATTTGGTTCCAGAGATCGAGGAACCAATGGTTGAAGTATGGGGATAAGAACTCTAAGTTTTTTCATTCCTCTACAGTGTCCAGGAGGAGGCATAATAGGATTGTTACTCTCAAGAATGAGCAGGGTAAATGGGTTTCTGATACTAAAGAGCTGGTTGACATGGCTGTAGCTTATTACCAACAGCTGTTTAAAGGGGAGGATGAGATAGAAGAGGTTTTCCCTATCTTGAATGCTTTCCCTAATCTCAGGTTAGAGGAGACAAGGGTCCTTTCGGCTATGCCTGATAAGGAGGAAATAAGGAGAACTATCTTCAGGATGGGTAAATTCATGGCCCCTGGCCCTGATGGCCTTAATGCCTTATTTTTCCATTCCCAATGGAATATCATTGGTGACTCGGTTTGTAAGCTTATTGAAGAGATTTTCTGCTGCCCAGATAAGGTGAAAGAGATTAATGGTACTCTTATTTGTCTTATCCCCAAAAAGGAGAACCCATAGTGTATGAAGGATTTTAGACCAATCAGTCTCTGTAATGTGGTATATAAAACTATCACAAAATTGATTGCTGGGAGGTTGAGAGATTTGATGCCTAGACTTGTTTCTCCGAATCAGTGTAGCTTCATCAAAGGGAGACAAGGGGCAGATAACATAATTATTGCCCAGGAAGCTATTCACTCTATGAGAGCTAGGAGAGGAAACAAAGGTTGGATGATGATAAATGTGGATCTTGAAAAGGCCTATGATAGGCTGAGTTGGAGTTTTATAGTTGACACCTTGAAAGACATTGGGTTCCCTAGCCATCTTGTTCATCTAATTCATAGCTGTATATCAACAACTTCGATGCAGGTCCTTTGGAATGGGGTAGCTACCACCAGTTTTACTCCAGGGAGAGGGATTAGGCAAGGGGATCCTATTTCCCCTTACCTGTTTGTACTTTGTCTAGAGAGATTGGCTCACCTTATTCAGTTGGCAGTAGATACCAAAGCCTGGAAGCCCATGGTTCTTAGGAAGAATGCCCCCCTATATCTCATCTATTTTTTGCAGATGATTTAGTGTTGTGTGCTGAAGCAAGTCTGGATCAAGCCTTTATTATCAATCAGGTAATTAAGGTCTTTGCTGCTGCCTCTGGCCAGAAGTTAAGTAAGGACAAATCTAGAGTCTTCTTTTCTAGAAATGTCAGTTTTGGGAAGGCCAAAGAGATTAGTGAAGCTCTTGATATTGGTATTAGTTCTGATTTAGGAAAATACCTTGGAGTGCCTTTGCATCATAAAAGGGTGACCAAAAATGCTTTTAGGCATGTGCTGGACAAAGTCCAAGGGAGATTATTGAGATGGAACCAATCTTCCCTATCATTAGCTGGTAGAGTGACCTTGGCTAAGTCAGTTTTGGAGGCTATGCCTGCTTACACTATGCAATCTGCAGTGGTTCCTGTTGGAGTGTGCAATGAAGTGGAGAAATTAACTAGGAGCTTTATTTGGGGTTCCTCCCAGGTACTTAGGAAGACCCATCTGGTGAGCTGGAAGAGATTGTGTAAACCCAAGATAAATGGTGGGCTGGGGTTCAGGAACCAGAAGCTCATTAATAATGCTTTTTCCATGAAGTTGGGATTCAGGCTTCTTTCTAACAGTGAGGACTTATGGGTTAAAGTCTTGCGCAGTAAATATAAGGTGGAGAAGGGCTATGCTCCTGCTTTATGCAGTAGCAGCAATTGTTCCAACACTTGGAAAGGGATTAAGAGAGTTTGGGAGCAAGTTCTTGAAGGTACCAGAGTCATTATTGGGGATGGGTCCACAACTATGTTCTGGTTTGATAGATGGGTTCCAAAAGCTGGCAGATTAAATGATTTGGCTATATCCAGGGTCCCAGATGAAGCTAAGAACTGGATGGTGATGGATTGTGTTAAAGAGGATGCTTGGGATTGGAGTAAGTTTGATGCATTCCTTTCCCAGAATACTCTGGATGCTATTGCTAAAATTCTGCCGCCTGATAATAGGGAAGAGCAAGACAGGCTGATATGGAATCACTCTAGTTCAGGAGCTTTTTCCATATGTTCAGCCTATAAGCAGTTGTCTCTAGATGATGGGATTTCTGACTCAAAAACCTGGAATGTTGTGTGGAAGTGGGAAGGGCCTAATAGGGTCAGATTCTTCCTTTGGTTATTGCTGGGAATAAGTTGCTCACTAATGCAGAAAGAATGAGAAGACATATGGCAGTGAATGGAGCTTGTCCTAGGTGTAATGCCTGCAGTGAGGACAGTGACCATGTGTTCAGAAATTGTCCGTGGATTCGGGTGGTCTGGAGTTTGTGGATAGATAGCAAAGATATGCAATCTTTCTTGGAATGCAGTATGGATACTTGGCTGCTAAAAAACTTGCACAGGGGGAACCAGAACAAATCTTGGTGTTTGAAATTTGATGTGATATGCTGGCTCATATGGAAGGATAGGAATAATTTAGTATTCAAAGGTGGTACCTCAACTCAAATGGATTTATTTTCACAGGCTTCTCTCTTTGTGAATAATATTAAGATGGCTAATGGACTACTTATGGATGCTGGTCTTGGATTGGATATGGAAGAAGAAATCTGGATAAGGTGGAAAGCCCCTGCCCCTGGGTGGTTTAAGATGAATACTGATGGGTCATTTGTTAGCAGTGAGCCGAGGGCTGCTTGTGGTGGGGTTTTAAGGGATGCAGAAGGAAGATGGATTATTGGCTTTTCCAGGAAGTTGTATCCAGAGTCAGTCCTGATGGCAGAGCTCTGGGGTCTTTTTATAGGATTGGAATGGGCATAGGAGAATAATCTGAAATTGATTGTGCTGGAATGTGATTCTTTGATGGCTGTAAACTTGGTTAGACATTCCACGTATGCCCTGGGCATATATAAGCCTATGGGTATCATCCAAGGTGTGTTCACAGAAACCACAACCATGATGCCCCAACCAACCAAAACGCCAAAGACATTCCTAGTGTGCTCCTACCCGGATCACACACCATGACACGCAGTCAACTGGAACTCCCTCCTGGAGACCTATCCAGCGGAAGTCCGAAACTGCCCGAAAGCTAATAAAACTGTCTACTGGCCAGAGACTCGGTACATAGTACCCATAGCAATAATGCATGCATGCTCATGTGTTCTATACTATTCATACACACTTCCTACCGTTGCCATCAACTGGCAAGGTGGAACAGAAAAGGGGTACAAGCCCCAGTACCAAGAGGTTATCTTAAGTAATTTCCTCACTAGCTCCGCAACAGCTTATCCCTCAACTTGGTACACAGCGGAATGCCTACACAGAGGACATTCCCAATCTCTTATAATTCAAACAATACATACTAATTTACAATTATACATGCATTGAACTAAATACATACCTCAATCCACTTGGTCCAAGACCAAGGGTAACTCCCAGATTCAAGTTTCGGGATTCAAGTCAACGTACGGCAACCTATACAATTACGTACATCCATCAGTACGCGTCAAATATCATCAAAACGCAAAATCACAAAAATCTTCCTCATCCTCCCTTGATGGTTCGGCCATTGAAGTGTAATTTTGAGATTTATTTTTCTAAATTTTCTTTCTCATTTTGTTACGTCTCATAAGGTTGTCAATAGGCCAATTCAAGTGCCGGTTCGTCATTTTCGCGTCGAATTACATCAGAACGCGAAAATCGCAAAATCTCCCCTTTTTCCCTTGGAGGTTCGGCCATATAGCTGTTAATTGGGGATTTATTTTTCTAAATTTTCTTTCTCATTTTATAACACTCCCTTAGGTTGCTTAGAGGCTAGTTCAATCGTCGTTTTTCCGTTTTACGACATTTACGCATCGTTTTGCGAAATATTTCACTTTAGGCTCATTTAGGTCTCTAAACACAATTCACTTTTCCCATTGATTCAAACACTATCCAACCACAACACAACCCATCTAGGCACCATATAACTACACAAATCATCATCCAAATCATTTTTCAACATCAATTCCTCAATTTTTCCCACAATGGCCGAATTATATCCTAGGGAATCCCAAAGGATTTCCTTCCATTTTCAACCATTCCTCAACTCAACCAATCACATTATATCATCATTCTATCATACAACAACTTATTATCAACATCACAACACATTTTTCCAAAATTCCATGTCATGACCATCAAATTATTCTAAGTTAAAAATCATCACATTTCACCTAAAATTTTCATTGCGTTTCTAGCATTAATACATCATTCTAAGGCATTATCATTTAATAGACATTTTCCATTTGAGCTCTCTAACACAACACATCATAAAATCCCTCTTTTAGGGTTCATAAACATAAATCACAATTCAACCATTGAAATGTTGAAATAACTCACCCAAATGCAAGGCAAATGACTCCTCCTAAGTATACTCCACCATTAGAGCATTTGAAAACTCCATGAACACCCAAACTTCAATGTGAGCTCCGGCCTTTGAGGGGGAAGATCTCAAAATCCTCTCACTTTCACGGCTCAACAAGGCCACCAATGGCTTTGGAAGACAATTTCCAACAAATTTCAAGTTAAACTTTGTTGAATTTGGTTAGGATTTGAGTGATTAATGGAGAGAAGAAATTTTTTTCATGGAGAAGGGGGGAGGGGGCTGATGGCTCGGGTTTTAGGAAGAAGAGGGAGTGAGGAGATGATGAATAGTGGAGAGGATGAGGTGGCTTAAGTGACTTTCAAGTGGGGTGGGTCCCACGCCACCTCACGCGATTCAAAACGCGTCAAAACTCTCGCTAAACGTCCATAAATTCAAAGCCTATTCAGAAACTCTAATTTTTAACATTAACTATTCCACTTTAATTAGGCTTGATCAGATGAATTCAGAGTCCTCCATTCGTTCGGAGAAAACACTGTTTTAAGCTATCGCGCGCGCCGTTGGCACGTTTCCCCAAAATGACTTACTTTCATCAAATTTTATCAACAATCACATTTCCTAACTCATTAGACCATTTGTAACTCATATTTGAAACCTAGAGCTCAAAATTAAACTGGCACGTTTTACGGTGCAATCGTAACGCGGTACTTTTACCTGCGAAAAATACTATTCACTGATTTTTCTGAAACTTGCCTAACCACTCAATTTTTCGTTCTGAACCCATTTCCAGGGTTATTTTTACCATATGAGACCTTCTACTCAATTTTTATCTTCCTAGGGTTGCGTGTTGGCTAATTACCGTTTTGCCCTTTCTTTGTATTTTGGCCTAATCTTTAGGATTTTCACTAATCCATCACTTGATTGCTCACTTAATATTTTAATTACTTGATTTAAAATTGTGAGGTGTTATAGGTCGACCCGAGAACCGGTAAACCGATCATATAACCGGTCCGGTTGAAGCAACGGACCGGCTATGCATCAGAACCGGTGCGACCCTGTTCGACCCGGTCGATTTTCATGAAAATCGGAGACCCGGTCGGTTAACCGGTGACCCGGACCGGTCCTAAAAAAAAAACTCCAATTTAAAAATAAAATAAAAATCAT